GTATGTAAATGCCTGAAGGGAGGATGGAGCCAGGTTCTTCTCAGTGGTGCCCACTGACAGAAGCAGAGGCCATGGGCACAAGCTGAAACACGGGAGGTTCCTTCTGGACGCTAGGAAACACTTATTCTCTGTGAGGCTGGTTGAGCACTGGCACAGATTGCCCAGAGAGGTACAGTCTCCAGCCTTGTTGACACTCAAAACCTCACTGGACATGGTCCTGAGCGTCTTGCTTTAGGTGGCCTGGCTCAAGCAGAGGAGGTGAACCAAATGACTTCCAGAGATCCTTTCCAATCTCAACCTTCTGTGATTCTGTAAATTTCCTCCTGTGACAGGGTGTCTCGTTGCTGGGGCTGTCTAGGGGCCACCACACTGTCACCACGTGGTATCACAAAGGCTGCTGAGAAGCTGCTTCTTGAGAGCAGGGGAGGTGACAGAGAGAAAATCCCCATGAAATGGCTCTGCCACTCAGTGGGCACTGCTCAAACACTACTGGTCAATAGCTTGCAGGGAAATAAGGAGAAATTGCCAAAAAGACCTCGAAATGGGCTGTCCTGTGCCCTGCTCACTTCTCTGGTCTCCCAATGGCTGAGAAAATACCAAATCTGCAGATGTGCACAGGGCAGAGGCAGGTTTCCAGCATCCCAATGGAGGGGGTCAGGTTCAGTCTGGTCTAACTATGTTGCAGCAATGCTCCAGGCCCACTCCACTGAAATTTAATAGAGATAAACCCAAACAGCTGCTCAGGGAGGACGAGCCCTGGTGCAGGAACACATGGGGCTCACTGGTGAGGCAGGAGCACTGCAGGAATGGACCCGAGGGTGAAGTGCAGCTACAGAATGTTGGTAGTGAAGTGCTTATACAAAAAAAGCAAATTTTACTCATGAGAGCAGTGGGTGAGACATGGAGGGTGAGGATGGAGCTATGCCAGAGGGACTACAGGCTCTGTCTTCAGGTGCTATGTTTTGAACTGAATTTGGGCAAATGGAGTATGGAGACAGTAATGAAAAGGAAGAAGTCTGAAGAATGAAGGAATTTCAAGGCAGTGCTCCGGATGCTCCTGCAGTGCCATTCTCTTGGCCAGACAAAATTAAGAGTGTTTTAAAAACTGCAGTGTTGCCCTTTTCTTTGTATTGCAATTCACATTTCCAGCTCTGTTCATGCTCTCCTTTGGGGTTTTGTCAGACTTTGGAAAGACAGCAATGCTGCAGCAGGCTGACTTGATGGCAGCTAGTCACATGGACATATGTATACGTGCTATACATTTGGTGGTTCTGTGATGCTTTTAGTTTATAGACAACAGTGCTCATATTAACCAACCAGTCCAAGGGGCTTGTGTCCTGTTACATTTATAATAAAACACAATGCCTGTGTGTTGTCTGGCATTTATACATGAGAACTTCACAGAAGCAGCTTTTATTTTATTAGGAGACACACTTTCACTGGAGTCCTCACTGAGCTGAGCAGAGCGCATGAGAGGAGAGATGAACATCCCAAAAGATATTTATAGATCTGTGTTCCCAGTCCTTTCCTCTTCAGTATGAAAGCAATTCTACGACAGGATTATTTTGACTGGCTGTTCAAGATTTCCAGAGGAGAAGATTAATGTGCAGGAAGCCTCGCAGCGCAACTGGAAAAGCTTGCTGGCTTTGCACATTTTCATGAGCTGCTTGGCTCGCTGTGTCAAGGTTATCTTCCTCAGATGGGGAGATGTGGATGTCAAGTAGCAGCGTAGCGAACGGAGGAGCTGGGGTCTGACAGCAGCTGCTGAAGCGCAGAATTACCTGTGCCTGGAGAGCACCAACCACAACTAGGGGTTACAGCAGATGCAGGTACTGTACCCCAAGGTGTTTGTCCCAGCCCTTTCTTTTTCTTTTTCTTTTTCTTTTTCTTTTTCTTTTTCTTTTTCTTTTTCTTTTTCTTTTTCTTTTTCTTTCTCTTTCTCTTTTTCTTTCTCTTTTTTTTTCTTTCTCTTTTTCTTTCTCTTTTTCTTTCTCTTTTCTTTACATACTTGAGAAAATCCCCTATTTCAAATGGCCAAGCGGGATGTGATGGAGGTGTCTTACACCGATCTTTCTCCCAGGTGGAAAGGGTTTTCTGGTTCTTTCTCTTTTTCTTTCTCTTTTTTTTTCTTTCTCTTTTTCTTTCTCTTTTTCTTTCTCTTTTCTTTACATACTTGAGAAAATCCCCTATTTCAAATGGCCAAGCGGGATGTGATGGAGGTGTCTTACACCGATCTTTCTCCCAGGTGGAAAGGGTTTTCTGGTGATGCCAACTTTGCCTCACCGAGACGGTGATCCTGTGTGTATCCTGCAAAAGAAGGGGAGGCAAGAGCTGCCCAGATGTTTAGGTCTCAGGGAGAGGGAACAATTTAATGTGTCATATATATGGCAGAAGCTGTTTGCAGAGTCATTTTGACCCCACCTTAGAAATCCTTCGCCATGGGGAAAACATTGTCAGAACCTCTTTCTATCCTGCTGCTGTTCCAGCTCCAAGGGGTACAAAAAGATAATATTCCCTCTGTCTAGGAGTTTCTGCTGCTCTGTCCGACTGTATTTAAAACAGTATTACTCTACCATGGTAAAGGAACCGGACTTCTTCTGTGTTGCTCATACCTTCTTGATTTCCTCCTTTTTCTTAAGCAGAGCAGAGTGATGTTACACTAAACCCCCTGAACAATGACCCCTGAAGTTCTTTTTCTAAGGCAGCCATACCAAAGAGATTCTCACTAGCTTAGCAAGCCCTGGAGTTGATTTTTTTTTTACTTTTATCTTCAGCATGGAGGTTGAAGCTCTGTTTTTTTCCTTACAGACGTGAGGGATCCAGGGAAGTGCCAGTGCCAGCGGTGGGTCCCACAGTGCTGAGCAGTGCCAGAGGACAGGCATGAATGGGAAGGGGCAGAGCAGAAGTGCAATGAGAGACACTGAGCAATAAGAGAGCAAAGAGGTGAAAAACAAAGAGTGGGACAAGGAGAAAGCAAAGGCGTTGGCAGCCCAGCCATCACAACTGTCCTGCACATGGAGGTATTTATTTAACTTTTTTTTTGCATTTTGGCCACTTCAAACTTTAGCAGCCTGATTCCTACCTCCTTTAGTATGAGATCTGAAAAAAAGCCAGCTTTGGGAAATCTTTGAAAGCAGGGGAGAGTGTGCGCTTTTGTGGCAAGTTGGAGGAGACCTCAGAGCAGGCTCACTTGCTTTTACTGCCTCTTGTAAAAGCAAGTCTCAAGCTGTCTGGCAGGTTTACACCAGTGTAAAACAGGCAGAAGGAAAAGGGTCAGTGGGAGGACAGCTGGGAGTTGTCCCTCAGTGGATGCCATGAGGACATGTGCTCTTTCCTTTGCCCTCTCCCATCAGCAGCTCCCTCCTGCCTGCCTGTGTCCATGCACAGGTCCTTTCTTCATGGTCACAGCACTGATTTCTGCTTGTACGATATTCCTTTTTTGACTTAATTCCATAACCATTTTTAGGTGATGAATTTTCCTCTTCAAGTGATTAGTAGAAGCTTAGCATTAAATATCATCCTTAAATACCAGCTGTGATTCTGTGCTTGGTAGACCACGAAATATAAGCTTTGATGCTCAAGTAAGAAAAGGCCATTTTGTGAGGAAAAAGAGAACTTTAGTCCTGAAGCATCTGACCTCATAAAAAGGCCAAATCTCAACCTAGATACATTTTATGGCTTTGCTGCTCGGCACAGTTGTGACTGTGTGGACTATAGGGAAAGTACCCTAGAAAGACAACCTTCTTCTATTAACAGAAGGTCACAACGCACAGTGTTAATCACCTACCTCCCCGTATGTTTTTATATATTTGCTTGTACCCAAAATACCGGGGAGTTTTCCATATCTAACAGTACAGATGATAATAATTTGCATGATAGAGATACAGGATAAAACCACTGTTGTCAGTAAATGTGTACCCATTGAATAAGATGGATTTTACAGCTTGGCACCTGCTGGGAAGTCCTGACAGACTCTGTCCCATCCAGAGACCAGTAACCATTATACAGACATGGCTTGGATGCTTGAGGGGCACTCAGACCTTCTGGGCAGCATGTGATGGGGTACAGACAGACAGACAGGGAAAAAATTGTCCAGGGCTTAGTCCAGTGAAAATGTTGCTTTTACTATTGTTAAATTGCTGCTAAGGGTAAGGACTTTTCATAAAGCTTTTTCACATCAGATTATAGGCCAAAGGGAGCAGAACGGTTACAAGGGATGTGCGCTTTGGATGAGGATGATTTCCAGTGATCTGAGAGAAGCCGTGGGACTTTCCTCAGCCTGTGCTTCTCTGCCACCTCCATAATGGTGTTGAAGCTGAAGCATGAACATAGAGCAGCAATTATGTTTTGGGCTTCGAATACTAAAATTGGGGTACAACTGTGAAGTCTGAGCCTGTAAAATGCTGAATGCTGGCAGCTGTCACTGTCTTCCAATGAGTTATTTGTAGGGGGAAGGGTGGAGGATCCATCCCTGGTGATGAAGGATATATTTCTGTGCCACCTGTGATGCTCATGGCACTTGTGCACTGCCCATTCACATATGCCAGATGGATCAGGAGCTGTTGCTTGTGACCTGGAGACCTGAGGTCTCCTCACCAGCAAAGCTGATAGAGTTGTGACCAGGAAGGATGACTGAGACTCGCCAACATTATTTCTCCTCCCAACTCCTTGTGGAGTGGCTGGGCACTTGGTAGCCTGGCTGGTTTCTTCCAGCCTCTCCACTGTTCCACAGCTAGCCAAATGCTCAGCCTTACTTTAGATATCAAGGTTGCTGGTTTGCTCCAGTGCGGGAAGGGCAAAAGATATTTTTCCATGACCACAGACATATAATCTCCTGTTTCTCTGGGCTTCACCTGTATATGATGAGTGAGCAAGTGAGTCCAGGGCTTTGTTTCTCTGGCAGACACCCGAGCGCAGGGTGCTGCCTCTCTCCTGTGAAGCCATAGGAAGTGTTTCATGATTCAAGATAAAAAAGACCTTCATTTCCTCCTTCTGTGCTTGCACGGCTCAGCCGCCGCCGAGGCTGCATCCTCCGTCCTTACAGCCTGCTCACAAAATGGACCAAGAAACCCTGGGAAGTGTTGTCCTGCTCGTCATCGTCACCTTGATAAGTGTTGTCCAGAATGGTAAGTCAAAAATAAGCATTTATTAAAGGGCTAGAAGGGAACTGAGAAAAGTTTGGGATGGTGCATGCTGATCTGATCTTTGGATAGCTAGTCTCTGGTTATAAGCCTATGCGTGCTTAGGCATGATTTTGTCTTTAGAAATGGTCTTCTAAGCATATAATTTTGTATGCCATTGTGCAGTATCTCGGCAGTCGTGTGGTCCTACTCTGTGATATTCTAGAGTGAGCTTGTTATACATATGTCAGCTAATGAAAGGACTGATATGCCGGGGTGCCTCATGACAATATGCATTTCGGTTTGATCACTGACACCTCCTTTCCTGGCTAAAGTCCCTAATGTGGACAGCTGAGTGCTCTCCAGCCAGAGCCCTGCCACTGTGGGCAGAGGCTGTGGCCCTGGGGTGTCTGTGACGGGTCAGACCTTTTCATGGTGCTGGTCAAAGGAGGCAAAACAGCACAAACTCATCAGGGGAGTCTGTTTGGGTTATTTGTGGGCAGGCAGGTCTCCTGCTTTCCTGCCTCTCCAAGTCCCACAGTTCAACTAATCCCCATTAACTGCGGTCCCAAGAACACTGCGCATTTCCTGCAATGGAGAAGTTTCCTTTTTTTTTTAGCTCTTATTCAGACCTCTATCTTCCCTACTATTCTTCAGGATATTTAAATAAAACAACAAGTCTCTCTCTCATGCAAATCTCATTTTAATTTGATCCTCATCTCTTACAAATACTTAAATTATGTTAGCAGGAAATTCTACCCAGAATCAAGAGAACAAAGTGAGTTTTGCCCCAGCTGCACTGAGGTCGCTGAGGCTGAAGGAGTCAGCAGTGGGATGGGGAGGCTGCTGCAAATGTTGGAAATCTTCTATGAGGGCTTCTTGATAGGAAAGTGAGACTCCCACTGAGTGCAAACCCTATGCTTCGTCCTAGGAAATGGGCTATTCTTGGTCTACTGCAGAGAGGGGAAGTGGTGGGAGCCTCAGCATAAGCCTGGCAGCCAGATAGAGAGCAAAAGAAAAAAAAAAAAAAAAGAAATGCAGCTTGGTTTAGTTTTGACATGGGCAATAAATACCACATTGTTTAACCCAATGCTGATTTCTGGTAAATGCAGATTGTGTGACATCAACAGAATAGGGCATGCTGAGGCCAGAGCACATACTGCAATTAAAAAAGGTGTGTCAAATATTAATTTCTTGTTATTTAACCAAGTGAATTTATATATATAGCTTTTTTTTTTTCTTTTACTCTGAAACTCAGGCATTTGCCTTCCAGCCTGACACACGCTTTCAGCTCATGGAAAACTGTCTGTGAGATTATTAACTCAACTGCCACAAATAGGCAAGCACTATGCTTTGCAGAGGACAGAGTGCCAAGCGTGAGTGGCACAGAGCCCTAAAATATGATTTCAGACCTTGCATCACCCAATTTCCTCCTTCCAGACTTCCTGTCTAGGAAGACCTAACTGCAATCATGCAATGAATTCAATAATTAAGGCGGTAGAAATGCTTGTCAAGGGATATCAGTTGTACTGAACTCTTGCTGTGGCTCTGGTTCAGCAAATCACACGGGAATCTCCTTGTTCATCTTTAAATATGTGAAGTCAGTACCATGTAAATTTGGGTTTATATGCTTTTCTGCATCTGGTGCAGGATTAGAAAGCAGTTTGGGTGGATGCTTTTATTCCCAAAACTGGAGATGGGCTGTGGTGCTGCCCTAGTCTGATGTCCATTCACTGTCACCTCATTCATGTTTGGAATCTCGTATTCTACAGAACGTTTCATGTGGCCGGATGCTGCACAGTCACACATGTAGATTTAAGTTTTATTCTTGCGTCAGAGGGATGTTGCAATTCAGTAGCTTTCAGGGTAAATCAGTGGTCATGACTGAGCAGATTAGGATTGAGGAAGCAAAGCGGCATTTACGGAAAGAACGGGCAACCTGCACTTCTTCCAGCACTTACTGGGCTGGAGTGTCAGCACACAGTTTCTTTTGGCATGAACTTGGGAAACCGCCAGGCTTGGACTGAACTCATGTGTGTTAACTTGGCCAGAGTCGGGCTGCAGCAGTTCAGGCTCAGGGCAGCCTGCGCAGCCCTGGAGACTCAGGGCATCATCTCCTGGTGCAGCTGAGCTGAATTAAACCCCTCAGCTCCAGACCTGTTGGGTTCACTTATCTCATGACACCATGTGAAACAACCCTCTTGCCTTGAGTTTCACTGTAAACAGCAGAAAATATAGCGATGGCATAGGATGCTGCTTCATGTGTAGTCTCCGGTTTCACCAGGGCAAAAACCTCACCTCACTTGAAGCAGAAGGCTCTCCCTCTCCATACGATGATGAGATGCTGAGTTCCCCTCTGATTCAGTGTCTTCACCTTGGGGGTCTACATGATCCTGAGGAAATACAGCCACAATTCGGGGTTGGAGGTAATTGACCCAGGAAATTTTGCTAGCTAAGAGGTGGACACCTCACATGAAGTGGTTGTCTAAACTCTTTCTTGGGTCAATGGAGAAAGATCACTTCAGTGAAGTGGTTTCTGTCATGCTGGCAGCTCTCTGAGAGTTGGACTGACCTAGTCAGGTGCTTTTCTTCTGTTTCTGTCAAAGATTAGGGCTTGACTGGCCACTAAATGAGTGACAGATACTCTCTAATAACCTCTCTCTCTTCCTGGAAGGGGAAGAGAAAGGGAATAAAGGAGAGGCTGATGGATTGGGAAAAAAAAAACACACAAAACTAAAAAGCTTTAATGAAACAGTAACAATAGAAAGAAAAGATAATACTATTAGTAAGAAAATAATGAAATATATACAAATATGAACAAAACTAATATCAAACTCCCCTGATGATGATCATGTCACCACTGATGGTGTGGGACAGGTGCTGGAGAATTCCCAGACAGGACCCAACAGCAGATGGGAACTGGGTTCAGGAACCAGATTTGGGAACTCATTGATCAGGAACGAGGGCAGAAGAATGGACAGAGTCCTCCTTAGATGCCAGACATAGAAGAAGAGAGCTTGACCCTTAGTGATTCCTCAGCTTTATACTGAGTATGACATATGTGGAATGGAATACTTTGCTGGTCAGTTTTGGATTACCTGTCCTCTCCTCCCTGCTGGTGCAACATTTTCACTTAAAACCCTTTTACTTCCTGATACCCCCAATTGCACTCCCTGGCACCCCTTGGCACCCCTTGGCACCCCCTGGCACATGAGATTTAGCAGTGACCTTGGTTTCTATAGAAGCAAGTATAAGCAAGAACCATTCTGCATACCAATCTGTGGTAGTAACTATAAACATCAAGCATTATCACTTCTAGAAGCAGACACTGTCTGCGAAAACATGCTGTTAACTTCAGAAAGTGCAGTCTCTTAGAAGAGACTGAGCTGAAAAGGAAAATCACCGAATGGAGAATTGGTTCTGTTGTAGCTCAAATTAGGACAGTTTCCCTGTGACACCTACTGTTTACAGAAGGAGAAATCCATCTCCACAACGCTCCTCAACGTCTCTGAAGTGAGATGAGGCAAAACCTGCTCTGCATCCATGGTGCGGGTGTATGTGATAACCCTACCTCTGTCCTTTGCTCTAATGCCCAGGCTTTTGATCCATACACCACATCAGAGGTAGCAAGAGCTTCCAGGAGAGATGCCTGGACCTCCACAGCCAGATCCTTCCCAGGAGAACCAGCACTTCCAGGCCTGCCCAGCCCTGATCCCAGGGGCTGTGTACCAGGGGTGTCAACACTGGCACTTCCCAGCTCTTGTCCTTGGTGACCACTGTCAGGCTGGACATGTCTATGTTCAGCCTGATGGCTCTCAGCATGGCAGAGCCTCTCTCCAGCAGCGTGTTGGCATTTGGGAAGTGGCAGCACACACAGCAGTGCAGAGGGAGATATATTATATAGCTTACTCTTGGCTTTCTTTAAAGCTGTGGCATCTTATAGTGCTTCCACATACATGCTAAAAGGAAGGGAGAGGCTATGCTACATGTCCCAGTGAGCCCATGCAGTCCCAGACCTGCAGGAAGTGGTTTCCCATCACTGCAGCTTTGTACTGGTTGCACTTTCATTCAGCCTCTTTCACTAGGTCCTCTTAGAGCCTCTTAACAACCCCTTGCTGAAGGCCAGGGTGATGGACGGATAGAGATGCTGAGACCTCTTGGTGGCTGTGCCACTGGACAGTGTCTGCTCTGGGTCCTCCAGGAGCCGGCCAGTGTACCGTGCTGCTGGCAGCCAGGAGGGTCTGCAGCCTGGGTCAGAGTGGGGACGCTGGCTTAAAGCACTGTGGGTTTTTCTGGAGAAGGGACGTATACACTCAGGGAATCATTCGATAATGGAAGTGAAAAAGTTCAGTAGCTTTTAGTGAAGGCAGTGGAAGTACAAAAGACCTACTTACAGCATCAGTGAGGGGAGGAAAGAGGTAACTTTTCATATTCCAGGGATGAAAGCCTGCAGCTTATCAGGTTACACTTCTGTTGTTACAATAATATCTTTCCTGATGGGATATCTTTTATACATATATCTTTGGCTAATAGTCTAAAGAATAGAGTGATTTTGGGTACCCCGAGGTGGTGGAAGTACAAAAGACCTACTTACAGCATCAGTGAGGGGAGGAAAGAGGTAACTTTTCATATTCCAGGGATGAAAGCCTGCAGCTTATCAGGTTACACTTCTGTTGTTACAATAATATCTTTCCTGATGGGATATCTTTTATACATATATCTTTGGCTAATAGTCTAAAGAATAGAGTGATTTTGGGTACCCCGAGGTGGGATGCACGATGCAGTTTGTGGCTGTCAGAGCTCTGTCTGATGTTATTTAGACACGTGATTGATGGTGTCTGGTTTAGTGTCATCAGATAAAGCGTGTTTATCAAGTGTGATACTTTATCTTGAGGTGCTGCATTTCTGCAGCAGCTAACACCCTGGCACAACACCGTTGCTTAAAAGGAAGATACACGTAATATGGATACATAAAGATCACCCATCAGGACCTAGTTTTCAATGGGAAAACAGAAAATGAATCAGTCCTGCAGGATGTCCCTGGTTTGGCAAATAGGTATCACTAAAAAGGGAAGAGACTCCCTTGCCTCCCTGCTCTATTACAGAGTGAGATTTGGGGTTGGCAGCAGTGACTGGAACGCTTTTTTCCCACTGGAGGCTCAAAGCACACAGAGGTGCAGGCTGCCAGGAGCATGGCGCAGGGATGAAGCAAGGCTCAGGGATGAGAGCCTGCTGCCAGTCACGTATGGACACGTGGGGATGTCTGAGGCCGCGTCGCGCCAGTCCCTTGCACAGAGAATTTGGTTGTACCTCACTGACAGAGCAAACATGCTGGCCACATCCTGCACCTTCACGCGTCCACGTCCTCTCCTGCCGCACAGCCTGGGTGGTTGTGAGAACAGAGCTGAGCCAATAAAGCCCAGCTCCTGCAATATCTCCAAACTATGTCTCAGATTGAACACTTTGTGTTTGTTTAACAGCTTTTTTTGCTAGCAAACTGGAGCATGAAAGCAAACACTGCAATGGCAAGGGGTTCCAGCGGCCAGGATCCTCTGCCTTTGACCGTGTCTACACTGCTAAGTGAGTAAGCAAGCCCTGAGGTGCAGGGTTCATCTCTTTCTTCATTTGGGTTTAATCTAAACTCTTTTATGGTCCTGACTTTGTTGTGCAGTTCCATTGCTGTGTACGTTGCAGCGGCATTTAGACTGGTGGTTCTCCAGTATGTTTGCTGGTGAAACCAGCTCCTTTCTGGACACAGATTGCAGTATTTATATTGGACTTGCAGCCCTTATATGTGTTATATCCCTTCACCACTCAGTAGCTATTGCTGGATGTGTGATACAAGCACAGCTGGTGTCCTGAGAGGACTGTGGCTCAAAAAGAAAGAGCTAGACACCAACTTACTGAGGAGCAGAGCTCATGCAAACCCCTGTGCCTCTGTCCCCAGGCAGCTCCCTTGGCACATGTCTCTCCACTTCTCTGCCATATTAGTACCTCTTGTCTTTGATATCCCTTCAGAGAGAGCAGAGGGAAAATTAATTCCAACCCAGAAAAGAAAAGAACAAAAAATGTTTTTTATTACCTCTGAAGTACTGCTTGAAACTGAATGGGATGTCCTCGCACTTTCTGCCAAGGGCAGAGTGCTTGCCCCTCAGAAAGCCTTCCTGGCCAAAGAAGACAGCTGGAAATCATCCCTGTTCCCCTGCAAAGAGACATGTTAACTGTCAGACACTCCTCTTTGCTGTGGGATCTTCCTTTTGTTGGTTTCATGCAGCTTTCAATGCCACTAACTGGATTAATATGACTTAATTACAAGGATTTTCCATGCCAATAAAGAACACAGTGTCTATTACACACGTGCCTTGAGCAAACAAGTTAAAGGAGGAAAGTGGCTTTCACAGGTGCCAGGCATGTGGTTTCTTTGCCTCATCAGGCAGGACAAAGGCATCTTTTTTCCCAGCGAGGACAGAGGGAAGCTGAATTTCGGGAAGTTTGTGCGTGGACACACCAGCCAGCCCACGGCTGCCGCCTGCTGCAGGCAGGTTGGGGGCTTCCCACTGCTCTGGAGTAAAAGCCCACCCGCAATGGTGTTAGTGCAGCCCAAATTCACACCCCACCATGCTTTGCTGCTGAAACATGTTGATTTTGTTTCTGTTTCCCTGTGTTCTGATCTCTTCTATATAAATTCCTTTCTAGCCAGAACTGTGGGCACGCGTACCCTACATTTCTCGCTGTGCTCTGGTGCGCTGGCCTTCTCTGCAGCCAAGGTAACACTCTTTTATGGTTTTTTTCCCTTCAACCTTGCACCACTTTTAGCACGAGATGGCAAGCACTTCAGAGGTTACACTTCCAGGGACCAAATCCTCCTGCAGTGGGAGAACCTGCCTCACCTGGCTGCCCTGCAGCTCACATGCTGTTTAATTAGCAGCACACTCCTGGCATGATTTATGCTGACAGACGTGTTCCCAGACATAATTCAGGACAGTCTGGGCCAGTGACATCTCCCATACAGCTATTATGGACAAAATCCTTCTGTTTTAGGTGGGGGGTTTAGTCCTTGGATGTTGGATGCTACATTATTCAACCTTGGGACTATAAATGGGCCCATTTGATTAAATTGCTGGAGCTGCCAGCCCTTCCCAGTGCTGAGGGCAGCCCAGGAGTATTTACCTGCATTTCTAAATATGATCTCCTTCAATGCAATTTGAGTTTACCTAAAGTTAAGATCCTAAGGTCTATGACTGTACTTTCTGGAAGATTTTCCTAACCAGGAGAAGAGGGGCTTTTGCCTGCACATGTGGGGAACACAAGAATTAGGGGGAAAAGCTCCTTTTTATTCCTCAGAAATGAGTATTGGACCAAGTACAGTATTCCACCTGCTCCCAGAGAAGTGCATCTATTGGGTGGTGAAGACAGTCCCTGAGCTGACATACTCCTTCCTGAGCCTGCACGGCCCACCGTGGGTTTTTGATGGGGACGAGTGTGTGCTCTGCAGTGGTGTCGAGGTTTAGGGCTGGGCCAGACAAGTGGACACAGCTGTGGGCAGGATTATACCCACAAAAGCTTCAGAAAAGCCAGAGTGAGGGCAAGATAAGTGCTCTGTTACCCACACAAAGGTCTCTGTCCTAGTTCCAGCTCTCCTCCCGTAACCAAAGGCTGCAGATTTCCAGGCAGCGGACGGGGACAGTATGTACAGTGGGATTCAGGCTGCTGTTTGTAACGCCTTGTTTTACCCTTTACCCAGCTCCTGCTGCCTTTGCCGGCCTGATGTACTTGTTTGTGAGGCAGAAGTACTTTGTGGGCTACCTTGGGGAAAGGACTCAGAGGTAAGGACTTACGCAGCTTCTTTCCAGATCCCAGGATGCAGTAACAGTGGAGCTGGTCACTGCCAGTTCACCAGCTCATGGTGCTGCCTGGAACAGCTACTTGCACGGGGTGGCACAGGAAAGTCCCCTTTTCTGGGTGCCCAGGAGGAGCTGGAGGAGATGTGGGAGGTGTGGCAGCACCGGGGTCAGGGGAAATGCAGGAACAGAGCAGCTGCTTCAGCAGTTCCTGCTCATAGCTTCTGCAACACCACAAATTTGCATGTTTGTGCTGCTATTTGCACAAGATCATCCTTTTATGTTAGTAAAGCTCATTATGCACATGTGGAACAAGATTGTCTCACAACCTGTGATGGCTGAGAAGACATACAAGGCCCTCTGAAAAGCCACTTTCATAAGGAGCAACCTATGCTGAGCACAAGAGGCCAAATCCAGACCCAAATGGATCCTGAAAATGGCATTTAAGAGCTTGCAGCTGGCTTGCAATGCAAGAGAGAGCAGAAATTTGTTCCCTCCATCTCAGCCCCTGAGGTCTTTCACCTGGTCTCAACAGCAGAGTCCAAAGTCTGAGGACTTCTTGTGTGAGGTGATGTACAATAACAAATTTCTTCCCCTCCCTTTCTGTCTCCTCAGCACTCCAGGTTACTTGTTTGGAAAGCGCATCATTTTGTTCCTGTTCCTCATGTCCCTGGCTGGAATACTCAACTACTATCTCGTCTTCTTTTTCGGAAGTGACTTTGAAATGCATATAAAAACGATAACCAGTGCAATCTCTCCATTGCTGCTCATCCCCTAACTCCCTGCAGCACTGAGAGGGTCAGTGTGCTTATTATATTGATAACCAGAAGCAGCCATAATTCAACTGCTTAAGAAATGAACCCGTAACCCTTTTAGACTGCTGTAAATCTTGTGCTTGATGGGCTTTGTAGCTTGATTTAACCTTACTTTTTCCTTCCAGAAGAAAAGACTTATCATGAGCACTTGGCATGCGCAAGAAATGGTGACAACTTACAGTTAATTCTTTAGAGTCTTTTCCCCTAAACCGCAGCTTGCAACCTGATGGCATGACTGGAACAGGTGTCGTATGCTTGCTTCATAACTGGTTGTACTCAGCTCTTGTCCCAAAACCCAAGAGCTTCTTGGCGTTGTTCCTGATCGATGGCTTCCGTGGTTGTCCTCACACCAAGGCACAGCCTTTCTCCAGCATCCCACACACCCCAGCCCATGCAAAGGCATGGACCAGCCTCTTCACTTATCCTTTCCTTCCCACTTGTTGATGACTGAGCATTTGCTGCTGCAGGAGGGTAGCAAATTGGCCCCTGCCTGGCCTTCTTCTATAAATATTCATGTGCATAAGGCTCCTGACACTGATCTCATTTACGCTTCTGCATTTTTGTTCTCCCAGAGCTGTGGAAAGGGGTCTTGCATAAATGAGCTGATGTGTTGAAGATGGGATTGGTTTTGTTTTGCTTGACTTTGTTTAATAAAATGATCTCAAAGGATGAAATCTATTTGCTCTCATCTTCCTTGCCTTGCACATGATGCCAGCGCTCCATGGCTTGGCAGCTGGCCGGTGAGCAGAGCAAGGGGCTCTTTGTGCAAGCTGCTAATCACACCGAGTACAGCTTTGAAAGGGCACACGTTTAACAACTCCCTCTCTATTAGCAAGTTCAATTTTCTGCCTCTGTCACTAAAAATGTGCCCCCACAAGTCCATAACTGAGGAGCAGTTTGATTGGAGAAGTGGACTAAGGTAGGCAAATGGGTGCAATCTTTTTAAACATTGCTACCCTATGAGTGCTTAAGCCCTTAAGCCTGTCTGAATACTGCCCACAGGATGGGTAAAGCTGTGTTTTGTGACTTTTTGGGGAGGGACAGAGACTCCTCACTATGTGAGAAGAGGGTTAGCAGAGCTGTTTGCAAAAGCAGGTGCAGAAAGCTGCCTGCCTTTGTGCAACACCAAGACAGGCAGGTTTGGTGGCTGTCCAATGGGGCATGGTGGCTCTGCTCTGCACCGGACTATTTGCACTGCAAAAGCAACATACATCTGTATTTTTCTCATCTTCTACAGACATTTTAGAGGTGAAAGATTAGTAATAAATGTATTTATTATGTGGTGATTAGCTAATAAATGTTCTCAGTGGTTAGAATAGGTAAGTAAAAAATATAAACTAATGTCTCCTTAAGTTGCAGCAGGGGAGGTTCAGGTTGGATATTATGAAGAATTTTTTTGCTGAAAGGGTTGCCAGGCATTGGAACCGTCTGCCCAGAGAGGTGGCTGAGTCACCTTTGCTGGAGGCGTTTAAGAGATGGGTAGATGTTGTGCTGAGGGACATTGTTTGGTGGTGTTGATAGGCCTAGGACAAAGATTGGACTCAATGATGTTGAAGGTCTTTTCCAACCAAAACTGTTCTATGATTCTATGATTCTCTTAACATATAGCTTCTGAGACACCTTATTCCTGGGTACAGCACTTATGTTCCTTCCTTCCCTAATTCTAAAATGACCATAGCACACTCCAAACCCTGCTTCACACCATGTTTTTTTGTCACCCTCTCTCTCCACTGCTTATCAGCAGCCACACATCCTTGGTGGTCACACACTACCCTTCTGCCCCATCTGGTCAGCCCACTAACGGATGGCAGCACCTCAGGAGGAGGTATCAGCAAAGGCTCCCGTTGCCACCACCATTACTCAGTTCAGAGGAGGAGATGCTTCACCAGCACCATAGTCCCTGCTCTTCAGCCAGTCTGGTATCCCTGAGGTCTAAGACTTATTTACACAGACCATCACTTTGTGGGACATGGTTGTCTCAACCCTCTGTGGCAACCTTGCAGGTCTCCCCAGCTAGATAAGTCTCCCTTGGTGCCTTTTTGTCCTCTATAGCAAGAAACAGCTCACTTGACATCTTTCTGGTGTCTCCTGTTAGCTGAAAAGAGGTGCTCCACCAGCCAGCTATAGAGGGCGGAGGATTCAAGTGTCTATTTTGGGTTGGATAATCTATCTCAGCACTCTCAGACCTCTCTGTTGACTCAATGGTTTGTTTCCACACAGCTGTATTTAGCTAATATTAGGTCGTCTTCTGAGGAAACTAAGGCACATCATTTGCTGTAATTATTTTGTAAGAATATCCCTTACTTACCTCCTCAAAACCTGTTTGATAACAAAAGAAATGAAAGTACAGGCAAAATCTATTTTGCTTCTATCTATAAATGGTAATGGCGATAGCATCAAACAGGTGGTACATAAATCCATCACTATGTAAATTCTCTGTGAATGTCACTCTGTTTTCCATGTTACAGCCAAGCCTTGTGGTTGTATTTGCCTTCCCACTCTTGCTGTGAAAGGAAGGCAACATCAGTGCTGCCTGGGCTTTCCCCATTGTGTTAGGCAAGTCTAGTTTTTGTTTTCAGCAATAGAAAAACCATGATCTGGGCAGTACAGTTGCCAGCACTTTGCATACCAGCTACTCAGAAAGCTTCAGACATAGGCTCATTCCGACTGGTCTAGGTGACCTTTGAAGGTCTCTTCTCACCTAAACCCTTCTATGATTCTATAGATCCATGTGCAAAAATGCATGTGCTACTGTAGAAGATGTGTGGTGCCCTGGCTCCTTGCGATGGCACGTCACCACCACGCTGCATGGCTGTTTGTATGTTAGAAACCCAGGTACACAAATAAGCATGTCTGTGTCTCTAAAAAAATGTGAAATGGTGTGTTTACTTTTTATATCTGTGTGTATATATATATAAAAATATATATGTATATAGGTGCTATGTCATGTGAATGCTAGAGGCTTTTCAGGGAAGCGGGCGGCTCAGGCACCAGCCCTCTCGCAGTTTGTGGGCTGTGTACATCAGAGACTGCGGAGACTGCTGGAAGCTGGGATATCGCAGGATGCTTTTGATCTGCTGACAAAGGCCTGGAGTACATACAATATTCCTGCCACAGTAACGGCATCTGCTTCCGTACAGCACTACAACCCTCTAGTGGAAACTCGTTCCTGTCGGCATGCTGCTGCTTCTGGCCACGGGATGAGCTGTTCCCTTGAGGTCTGAAGCCTGACGGTGATGCAGCGGAATCCACATTGCTGAAGAGATGTGTTGTTGCTATTGAACGCTATTTTCTATTATTCTGGAGTGTTGGAGCCCCAGTCCTGAAGCAGGACCCTCATACTACTCATAACAGAGAGAGCAGTCCTGCTTAGCACAGGGTCTGAGCAAGGAGGTGATATCTGAGTGGGACAGGAAATCTGCACACCACCCACAGGGGTTTCCTGCAGTATCTCCCAGATACCCAGTTTCTCAGAACTTGCAAAATTGGTTTGTGCAGTACCAGCTCAGTTTGAGTCACGTCTACGCCAAATCAAGTTTCCCAACAAGTCCCTGAGGATCAGGAGAGCAGTTATGCTGGCGTGGAACAAAGACTGACCTTGGGCAGCCTCTTCAGCTCTCACCTGCTCTGAGATTACTTTCTTCTAGCAGCGCAGCTGGTTTAACACTCACAGAAACCTTTCAAAAACCCTGTCAGGGTGGGATTCTGCAAAGCACTGAGCACTGGCACAAGTCAGAGCTGTGTGTTTCGCAGACTGCAGTGGAAGCAGGATTAGATTGCACAGGGAATGCTTGGAAAGTGAAAGGGCAGTACAGAATGAGAATAGTGGTTCCCTGGGTGATTTTAAATTGGTGTCATGTCCCAGCCAGAGCGAGTGGGGTGAGCTGGGAAAGCCCCTTGGTGAGCTGCAGAGCCTGCCCAGCATCCTCAGAAAGGACATGTTGACTCTCAGGAGAGGGAAGGATCTTGGAGGCTGCAATATTCCTTTGAGGCACCTGAGGCACATGTTTGAGCTTCATCATCCCTCTGGGTGATGAAGACTGCTGTCCCTGGGGCTGTCAGGGAGGGTGCATGACATTTTAGCTGTGGCTTCTCTCAAGGTGGGTCAGTGCCTCAAGTGATTAGGCTGGAGAAGCATCCTGTGCACCGCTACCTGGCTGCAGCAGAGAAAGAGCTGCTTTTAGCAGCGCTGCCATGAGTGCCAGGAAAATATGCCCCATGGAGATGAATTGCTCAAGCCAGGGCCTGGCCTCTACCCCTCTGTGTACTTACGCTGGTGGAGGGAGGCTGTGGACAGGAGAGCAACAGCTCTGCTCCATCCATCCTGCCTGCCAGAGCATCTCACTGCTCCCTGCCAGCATGCAGACACATGAAAGCTGGCAGAAGTGAGATTCCTGCCCCAAAGGACAAACAACCTCCACAGTGAGCTGTTTTTCCCCTTTAGAGGAGAAATAAATAACTTTTCAATTTCAGCTGTGAAGATCTTCACACTGCGAGATGATTTCATCAGACAGAGATGATTTCATCAGACAGACGAGCTCCCGGGGCTTCGTGCTGGCTGCCTACTGAGCTGCTCGGATGCCATCCGCTGGGTGGTTCCTACTTGTCCCCGGGGGAAGGGGACCAGGCACCAATGGGGCAGCTGTGGTGTGGGGTGCAGAGAGTGAACGAGGGATGGTTTTCACTTAGAAAAATAAAGGTGTGATGGCATTGCCTGTGACTCGCCGTGCACCTTCTGCCATGTGCAAACAGCAGGGACTGTGTGTGTGCTGTGACCTCTTGCAAGGTCAGGGGATGCTTTGGGAGTCTTAGGAGAGGGGCTGCCACCTCCTGTGCTGCTATTTGCCACCACTCAAACAAGCATACATTTGGTTTATTGTTCCTGTGTTTTCCCAAGAGAGAGCCACCACTGCCTTCATCCCCAAACAATGTTTTCTGTGCTTTTTGGCACAGTACTTCAGGCAGGGACAGTCTGACCCAGCGAGAGCCCCCTCTGTGCTCTGGGATTAAGCAGAGCAGCACGATGTCTCCTGGCCAGCTGCTTCATGCTTTTTGTTTGTGCCACAGAAAAGGAATTTCCTTTCAAAAGGCAGCGCCAGCCTTCCCACTGCCCTCCTCAGATAGGAGGGGAGAGTGCTTGTGAATTCCAGCAGCT